CTTCAGCATCTTTCAATCCTTCCTTCCTTCCTTCCTTCCTTCCTTCCTTCCTTCCCTCCCTCCCTCCGTCCTTTCTGACTTCAGCATCTTTCAGTCCTTCCTTCCTTCCTTCCTTTCCTTCCTTCCCTCCTTCCCTTTCTGACTTCAGCATCTTTCAATCCTTCCTTCCTTCCCTCCCTCCCTCCCTGACTTCAGCATCTTTCAGTCCTTCCTTTCTTTCCTTTCCTCCTTCCCTTTCTGACTTCAGCTTCCTTCCTTCCTTCCTTCCTTCCTGTATATTTGGCTGAGCCAAATTTTCTTTTAAATCTTTCCTTCATCGATCCAGGGGAGTGTACACTGTACCCTTGTCTCTCTGTTTGTTTTAGCTTTATTACATTTTTGTGGAGGCCATAGAAATAGATTTTGTGAGTCACCAACGTCTTTTCCCCTTTCCTTGACCCCATCCCCTTTCCCTCTAGGACATGTGCCGAGTTCTCTCCTGCCACACCAATTCGGCCGATCAATCCACCTGCTCTCGGCTCCATGTCCCGCTTCTGGATGGGACCGAATGTGGGATCAACAAGGTAAAAATCAATTTTTTTTCTTGCTAGCGAGAGGGTAATCACACGATGCTCAAACTCACGCCCAGCTTGGACCCAGGAGCTCTGACTATCTCCTGCCAGATGCTCCTGGAATGAATGTGAAAATGTAAAGCTGGTTTGTCATAAACTGTGGTTCCCTCCTGATCCGCTTCTGGGTGGATAACTGGGCTGATTTTTCCGGCAGTGGTGCGCCAAAGGACGCTGCAGTTCCCTAGAAGATCTGTCTCCGGTTAGCATGGTGCATGGACAGTGGTCCAGCTGGACCTCTTTCTCTGCCTGTTCCCGGAGCTGTGGAGGGGGCATTGCAACGAGACAGCGACAATGCAACAACCCCAGGTAAACGAGACCTCCATCTTCCCAATTTGACACATGCCTCTCATCCAGGGCTTAGATGGCACGGATCAAGGGTTAGATGCTTGCCCTTCCAGATGTCGTTGACCTATAATTCCCAAGCTACCTAGCCAGCTGGCCCAATGCCCAGGTCTTTGATCCCATATGAATGGTCATCAGAGTCAAGGCCATCCAAATCCCCAGAAGATACAGCTGTTCCAGAGGTCAGGGACACCCGGATCCAGACGTTCCTTTTCTTTTCAGACCTGCTTTTGGTGGCCTGCCGTGCCAAGGGGAAGCCTTGCAAGCTGAGATGTGTAACTTGCAGGTAAGTGGACTTTAGACTGCTTTCCATTTCTAAAGAAGCGACTGGTTGGGTGTCCGTATGCCTGGATTGTCTTGCAGGATTTCCTGCACGTAAGAATGAGTTTGGAACCTTAGTCTGAAGGAGCATTAAGGTGGGGAGTAGAGTGTGTTGGGAAGCCACCAGTCCCAGTTGCCGTTGGCCATTCTTATCTCGAGGGAGGCTCCAAAATCTGATTTCTCCTAGAAGTAGAACGGGCAGTGACCAGAGGTGAGACGTCCTGGAAAAGACGGTAGACGCAGCAAAGATTCAGCCTGTCTTTTCATTTGTTCATCATCCCCCTGTTTACACACTCATTCACGCTATCTTGGCAAGTGCAGATTTGCAGTCTGGTGTTCCACCGTTAGATACTTCCACTTGGAAGGGACGGAAAAATCTGAAGGCCTAGTTCTCGGGGAGGACTAATCCCTCAAAAGCAAAGTCCATCCCTTCCTTCGGGGAAAAAAAAAGAGAGAGAGCGAATGTGGCCTTGAGCTTTTGATTTCTCCTTCCCCAAAGCCCTGCCTGAAGACCCAGATGGACTTCATGGATGAGCAGTGTTCAGCAACCAACGTGAAGCCCCTCTACCTCCATCGGCAGTTGCCTTCCTTCTACAAGTGGGTTTCAGCAGCCAGCTATGCAAAAGGTACCTTGGTTTGGGATGACAAACCAGGGAGGAACTACTACTACTACTACTACTACTACTACTACTACTACTACTACTACTACTACTACTACTACTACTTCTTCTTCTTCTTCTTCTTCTTCTTCTTCTTCTTCTTCTTCTTCTTCTTCTTCTTCTTCTNCTCTCAGCCCAACCTACCTCACTTGCTGTGGGGAAAATAGGTGGAGGAAGGTGTGTTGGATATGTCTATGGATATTCTCAATCATCCACATCAGGGGTCTTCAAACGTGGCCCTTTTACGACTGGTGGATTTCAACTCCCAGAATTCCTCAGCCAGGCACGCCTGGCTGAGGAATTCTGGGAGTTGAAGTCCACCAGTCATAAAAGAGCCAAGTTTGAAGACCCCTGATCCAGATCACGGTTGTCCCAAAGGTGCTTTTCCAAAAGGCAACTGGACTCTGCTTGGTTTTTTTTTTTCCCCCTTGAAAACATTTCACTTCTCATTCAAGATGCTTCTTCAGTTCTAAACTGAGTGGTGGGGAATGGAAGGATTTATATTCTTTGCAATTATCTGGCCAATAGCCCTCTGAGGGCCTCTTATTTCTCTCAGCAAGGTTTTATCCGTGTGCGTGGCAAGAAGGTTTACATCAGAGCGGTGAAGAAGCAACACCAATGCTACTTGGTGGACCCCCATCTCCTCAGGCCCCACATCGTCTTCAGCAGTGTGCAGAACGATTCCGCATCAGCACAGACAAGTAAGATGGTCTTTCATGGAAATGAGAGAGACTCCAGAAGTGAAGGGACAGCCTTTTATTTTTTTCCCCTTAAACCTGTCCGTGTGACTCAGTGGTTCTTGGAAACTCAAACAAAAAAAAACAAGAGGTTAGGTATCTATAATACTCCACTTCTTTAAACGTCGGGCTGCCGTGTTTTGTGGTGCTTTCACCGTTCCAACTTCTCTGTGTGTCGTTGCAGGTGGAAAGGTTTCGTCCCGGATTCGCAGAGTGGTGGAGGAGAAGGTGAAACATCTGGAGCTCTTGGTGGTGGTAGGGCCAGATGTTCACCAGTTCCACAAAGAAGACACTGAGAGGTACATCCTCACCAACCTCAACATTGTGAGTTCTTTTGGGGCTACACATGTGGAAATTCCTTCCTTCTTTCCTTCCTCCCTCCCTCCCATCCATTTCTCATTCCCACCTTCTTCCTTCCTTCCCCTTTTTAATTCCTTCCTTCCTTCCCTTCCTTCCTCCCTCTCATCTCTCATTCCCATCTTCTTCCTTCCTTCCCTCTTTTAATTCCTTCTTTCCTCCCTCCCTCCCTCCCTTTCATCTCTCATTTCCATCTTCTTCCTTCTTTCCCTCCCTCTTTTTAATTCCTTCCTTCCTCCCTCCTGCTCAACTCTCATTCCCATCTTCCTTCCTTCCCTCCCTCTTTTTAATTCCTTCCTTTCCTTCCTTCCTTCCTTCCTCCATCCCCCCTAGCTGCATATATTTTTCTCTGCAAGTAATAATAATGTGTTACTCTCAGATTCTGAATTTCTCCCTACAAACCATCTGAATATATCTATATATATATATATCTTCCACTTACCTAGGGAGCAGAGCTTCTTCGCGATCCCTCGTTGGGTATTCAATTCAGAGTTCATCTGATCAAAATGATTGTCCTGACAGAGCCTGAGGTAAAAAAAAAGAAAGAGAGAGAGAGAGAGAGAAATTGACGGTCAGTGTGTCCTGCAGACTGCAAACCTTGGATTAATTGAGCTAGTACTGGTTGAATGAAGCACACAGAAGAGTTCGTTACTGTAATATGGATTTGTCGAGTCTCGGCCTTAATTGGGTTCCCCTGAATTTGGGTCTAATTGGGGTCCGTGTTGTCTTCTCTTCCCAGGAAGGCATCCAGATCACGACCAACATCACCAGCTCGGTCCTGAGCGTCTGCAAATGGAGCCTAAAGGTCAACCCAGAGAATGACCTGGACCCTCGTCATGCAGATCTCGTTCTTTACGTCACCAAGTAATTACTGTTAGTTTTGAGGAACGGTTAGCCCAGTTGGTGGATATCTGAGCCTAGCTTAGTATCTTTTCTTTCCCTCATCTATCTATCTATCTTTCTTTCTTTCTTTCTTTCTTTCTTTCTTTCTTTCTTTCTTTTTCTTTCTTTCTTTCTTTCTTTCTTTCTTTCTTTCTTTCTTTCTTTCTTTCTTTCTTTCTTTCTTTTTCTTTCTTTCTCTAGATTTGATCTAGAACTCCCGGATGGAAATAAGCAAGTACGTGGTGTCACTTCAAAGGGAGGAGCCTGTTCAAGGTCTTGGAGCTGCATCATCACCGAGGACACGGGCTTCGGCTTGGGCATCACCGTTGCTCACGAGATCGCCCACAGGTGAGTGGGCAAGAAGGACCTGAAGGAGCCTTCCGGATCTAGGAAGGACAATTGGCCGCCTTCAAGACCAACTGTGACCCTTTCTTTGATTCTGTTTGGATGACAGCTTTGGGATTGACCACGATGGGGAAGGGAACCGCTGCGTGGGAGACCGACACATTATGGGCTCCGAAGGGGGGCACAACAGCCTGGATCTGACCTGGTCGGTCTGCAGCCGAGAGCAGCTCCAGGCATTCGTCAGGTAAAAGGGTCAAGGCTGTGCTGTCTCTGTTCCTCGGATCCTCATCCCATGCAGAGAGAAGATCCAAGATCTTTCCATCAGTTATGTTTTGCTTAGGTTAAAAATGTGTGCTCAGAGTTATTAGAAGATATCAAAAGGGAGCCAGTCAGACTCACTAGCGCTGGTGAAGTTACCTAGTTAGTTAGTGAAACATCTGCAAGAAAACAACCAAGCTCAGAGGCCACCATCTTCCTCCTCCTCCTCCTCTCTGCAAACCCACTCCCTTCTAGCACTGATGATGTTGCCTAGTTGGGCAATGAAACGTCTACAGGAAAACAACCAGATTCAGGGAGCACGAAGGACCCCCACCTGCGTTCTTGAGACAGTCTTTTGTATTCTTCCCAACTAACCCGGCCACCTTGTTTTCTTCTGGTTTATTACCAGTACAGGCCAAGCAAGCTGCACAGATGACTTGCCTGTGTTAAAGAGCAGTCTGCCAGAAGCAAAGCCTGGCCTATATTTTGGGGCGGAGGAGCAGTGCAAAGTTGCCTTCGGTTCGGGGGCTTCGGCCTGCACTTTCAGCTATGATGTGGTAGGTGAAACTGTTGCTTCTGGGTTAGGTGGGCCTTCCTCACCCTGAAGGCAGAAGAGGCTTTAGAAGGCTGAAAGGGTTCATTCAACCAGTTGGCCTTCCTTCCTTCCTTCCTTCCTTCCTTCCTTCCCTCCCTCCCTGACTTCAGCATTCTTCCTTCCTTCCCTTCCTCCCTCTTTCTGACTTCAGCATCTTTCAATCCTTCCTTCCTTCCCTCCCTCCCTCCCTCCCTTTCTGATTCAGCATCTTTCAATCAATCCTTTCCTTCCTTCCTTCCTTCCTTCCTTCCTTCCTTCCTTCCTTCCTTCCTTCCTGTATATTTGGCTGAGCCAATTTTTCTTTTAAATCTTTCCTTCATTGATCCAGGGGAGTGTACGCTGTACCCTCGTCTCTCTGTTTGTTTTAGCTTTATTACATTTTTGTGGAGGCCATAGAAATAGATTTTGTGAGTCACCAACGTCTTTTCCCCTTTCCTTGACCACATCCCCTTTCCCTCTAGGACATGTGCCGAGTTCTCTCCTGCCACACCAATTCGGCCGATCAATCCACCTGCTCTCGGCTCCATGTCCCGCTTCTGGATGGAACCGAATGTGGGATCAACAAGGTAAAATCAGATTTTTTTTTCTTGCTAGTGAGAGGGTAATCATCACACGGTGCTCACACTCACGCCCAGCTTGGACCCAGGAGCTCTGACTATCTCCTGCCAGATGCTCCTGGAATGAATGTGAAAATGTAAAGCTGGTTTGTCATAAACTGTGGTTCCCTCCTGATCCGCTTCTGGGTGGATAACTGGGCTGATTCTCCCGCAGTGGTGCGCCAAAGGACGCTGCAGTTCCCTAGAAGATCTGTCTCCGGTTAGCATGGTGCATGGACAGTGGTCCAGCTGGACCTCTTTCTCTGCCTGTTCCCGGAGCTGTGGAGGGGGCATTGCAACGAGACAGCGACAATGCAACAACCCCAGGTAAACGAGACCTCCATCTTCCCAATTTGACACATGCCTCTCATCCAGGGCTTAGATGGCACGGATCAAGGGTTAGATGCTTGCCCTTCCAGATGTCGTTGACCTATAATTCCCAAGCTACCTAGCCAGCTGGCCCAATGCCCAGGTCTTTGATCCCGTATGAATGGTCATCAGAGTCAAGGCCATCCGAATCCCCAGGAGATACAGCTGTTCCAGAGGTCAGGGACACCCGGATCCAGACGTTCCTTTTCTTTTCAGACCTGCTTTTGGTGGCCAGCCGTGCCAAGGCGAAGCCTTGCAAGCCGAGATGTGTAACTTGCAGGTAAGTGGACTTTAGACTGCTTTTTAAAGAAGCGACTGGTTGGGTGTCCGTATGCCTGGATTGTCTTGCAGGATTTCCTGCACGTAAGAATGACTTTGGAACCTTAGTCTGAAGGAGCATTAAGGTGGGGAGTAGAGTGTGTTGGGAAGCCACCTGTCCCATTTGCCGTTGGCCATTCTTATCTCGAGGGAGGCTCCAAAACCTGGTTTCTCCTAGAAGTAGAACGGGCAGTGACCAGGGGTGACACGTCCTGGAAAAGACGGTAGACGCAGCAAAGAGTCAGCCTGTCTTTTCATTTGTTCATCATCCCCCTGTTTACACACTCATTCACGCTATCTTGGCAAGTGCAGATTTGCAGTCTGGTGTTCCACCATTAGATACTTCCACTTGGAAGGGACGGAAAAATCTGAAGGCCTAGTTCTCGGGGAGGACTAATCCCTCAAAAGCAAAGTCCATCCCTTCCTTCGGGGAAAAAAAAGAGAGAGAGCGAATGTGGCCTTGAGCTTTTGACTTCTCCTTCCCCGAAGCCCTGCCTGAAGACCCAGATGGACTTCATGGATGAGCAGTGTTCAGCAACCAACGTGAAGCCCCTCTACCTTCATCGGCAGTTGCCTTCCTTCTACAAGTGGGTTTCAGCAGCCAGCTATGCAAAAGGTACCTTGGCTTGGGATGACAAACCAGGGAGGAACTACTACTACTACTACTACTACTACTACTACTACTACTACTACTACTACTACTACTACTTCTTCTTCTTCTTCTTCTTCTTCTTCTTCTTCTTCTTCTTCTTCTTCTTCTTCTTCTTCTTCTTCTTTCTTCTTCTTCTTCTTCTTCTTCTTCTTCTTCTTCTTCTTCTTCTTCTTCTCCTCCTCCTCCTCCTCCTCCTCCTCCTCCTTCCTTCTTTCCTCCTCCTCCTCTTCCTCTTCCCTTCTCCTCCTACATTATCTGAGTTCCTCCATTGTCTTCTCCCCCCAGGAGATGCTCTGTGCCAATACATGTGCCAGGCAGCTGGGAAGAACTTCATGGTGAGCCGTGGGGACCGATTCATTGATGGCACAAGATGCAAGAAAAGCAGCCTGGTGGACAAGGATACACTTGCTTTGTGTGTGATGGGCAGCTGCAGGGTAAGGGTGAAGGACTTCCAAATTCTCTTTTTTCCTTCCTTCAATGTCCAGTCACAGTTAATGTCTCCTTATTAATTCTGCTTCTTTTTATTCCTTCCCAGATCATCAAAGGATGGAATTAGAGTGGCTTTTGGGAGTAGTAATCTTTTCCATATCTTGTATATTTTGAAGTGGGGACATTCTTGCCCACCGTTCATTTTCTTGGGCCATAATCCTCATGCTTTCGGAATCCCCAGCCTTCCCAAAACTCGAGGTTGAAACAGTTTAATCCTCTACGAGTGAATCTCCCAGAATTCTCAGCCTTGCATGGCCCAAAGAATTCTGGGAGATGCAGCACCTACAGAGGACGCCATAGGCCAGGCTGGCTTCTAGATCCATTGTTCCCAGCAAGCCATTTCGGCTCATTTTTTTCCTCCCTTTCCTTCAGATGTTTGGATGTGACGGCCGGATGGGTTCCGGAAAGAAGATGGATCCGTGTCAAGTATGCGGGGGAGACGCCACATCCTGCATTAATGTGAACGGCTTTTTCACCGAGGGAAAAGCGAGAGGTATCGCTCCATTCTATCTTCTCTATTGCCTTTTTTTTGGGTACCCGTAGCCCATGTACAGATAATCCTTGATTTACGACCACAACTGGATTGTTAATTCAGCTGCCCCCAATTTTACAACCTTTATCTGATGGCTGTTAACTGAATCACCTTACTTGTTAGGGAAATCTGGTCTCTCCCATTCGCTTTGCTTCTTCGCACCCGGCTGGGAAAGTCCCAAACGGGGCATTGACGTGACTACGGAATTCTGCAACTCTCATCAATACGTTATCGGTTGCTAAGCACCCAGATTTTGTTCACCTGATCACAGGAACGGTGCAACAGTTGTAAACGTGAGGACCTGACGTAAAGTTGGGTTTTTTCCCCAGTGCCGTCGTAACTTTGAATGGTTGCTAAACAAATGGTTTCTAAGTTGAGGACCTCAAAATAAACCTGCGGGATTGGATTATGAAGGTCCCTCACCTTTGGGGTGACCCAATGGCCAATTGGATGCTTTGAGGAACCTCAAAGGCTGGATGGGAGACATAGAGCCTCCTTCCATTCTCACTTTCTCTACCTCCAAGTTACTCAAGCTCTTCGTTGTCCTGGTTGAGGTCTTCACAACAATCTTCTACCGTATCTCCTCTGACTTGTCTTCTCTTTCAGAGTACATCACCTTCCTGATGCTGTCTCCGAACATCACCTCAGTCCACGTGGTTAACCGGAAACCCCTCTTCACCCACATGGGTGAGTCACTGATGCCCAGAATTGGTTTAGCAGGATAAGGGCGATTACCTAGAAGGACGTCTCCATGGATTGTCCCATGGGAGGAGATCCCTTGTAGCCTTTAGAGCAGGGGCATCCAACCTCGTCAACTTGAAGACCTGTGGACCTCAACTCCCAGAATTCCGCAGCCAGCCATGGGACAAATGTCTCTGTCTCTTGAGTAAAGGAAGAGAATAGTCAGGGATTATTTTAAAGGATAGGAAGACAAGATTCAAACTGACAGGGCTTGAATCTGATGTCCTGCTGTAGGAGTTATTCTCCAAATATCTGTAATAAAGCAGCTTATTTCTCTGTGGGCTCCTTGGGGTTCTCTGAGCTTAGTTGTTCCCCTTCTCCAAAGCAGGACCAGAAACAATGGATGACAACTAACCAGAGAACCTAGAACCAATCTAGAACTAAGGAGAAATTTTCTGATAGGGAGAACAATTAACCAGTGGAGTGGCTTGCCTTCAGAAGTTGTGGGTGCTCCATCACTGGAAGTTACTCAAGGGTTTCCTACTGGAGTTGTGGGTTGGACAAGAAGACCTCCAAGGTCCCTTCCAACTCTTGTTATTCTGTTAACCTTAGCTGTGAAAATTCAAGGGCAATACACCGTCGCTGGGAAAGGACTCATTTCTGTAAACGTCACCTACCCTTCGATCTTGGAAGACAACTGGTTGGAATACAAGGTCTTTCTTACAGAGGACAATCTGCCTAGCCTGGAGGAGATTCACATGGCTGGACCAGTCCAGGAAGACGTAGAGATACAGGTAAGGTAGTAAAGTCGCCGCAGCTAAGGAGCAGGGCCCCTAAATGGAAGGCAAATAAATTTAATCAATAAAATAAACCATCTTGGCAAACAGGAACACGTGTGGGGTAGTGTCGCCGTTTATGGACTTACGAGCACAGTCGCGACTAAAATTTCTTCTGCTGTTTTGCCCCATGTTATGACTTTTCTTGCCACCGTTGTTCAATGAATCATGGCGGTTCTTAAGTTAGCAGCCCGGTTGTTAGGGGACCGCGTGACCCCGCCCCCCCAGGGCACTCATCAATATGAGTCAAAACATCTGGATTTTGATCATGGGACTATGGAGGGGGGATGCTCTAAGTGTGAAAAACGATCGTAAGTCACACATTTTTTTTCCAGTGGCATTCCAACTTTGAATGGTCACTAAACAAAACAGTTGTAAGTTGAGGACTTACCGGTATGTTTGGCTCCTGTTCACATGTCTGTTCCTTTTCCGTCCAGGTTTATAGGAAATACGGGAAAGAATACGGAAGCGCCACCAGCCCCGATATCGCCTTCAGCTACTTTAGACCGAGCGAAAAGGAGACCCACACGTGGACGGCCCACTTCAGCCACTGCTCCGTGACCTGTGGGAGTGGTCAGTTGCTTAATTGTCCTTTTATTTCCTTTTATATCTCGGACTTTGGCACGGGGCACCCCGAGTATTTGGGGTAGGGAGGAAACATCTGAGGGAAAAACAGTAAACTTTAGTAAACTGGGACTTTGCACACCGTTTAACCCTGTGGGAAAAAAACCCAAAACTTTTGGTCTTTAAGGAAGTGGTTTTTTTCTCTCTCTCTCTGCTATTAATTATTGCAAAGCAGGCAGGTCTGGCTTTGAGGATGATGTGGTGGCTTTAAGAGGCCCGTTAAAGAGAGAGAGAGACTGCTTTCATGAGTCCACGCTGTTAAAGATCATTTGAAGTTACAGCGGCACTGAAAAAAGTGACCCGCGACCGTTTTTCCACAGCAGCAATCCCCAGGGTCAGGTGATCAAAATTCGGACGCTTGGCAACTGACATGTACTTATGACGGTTGCGATGTCCCGGGGTCGTTTTCAAATTCCTCCTCTCCTTCCGTGGAAACTCCCATCATCTAACCTCTGTTCCCTTCTTTTCTATCTTTGCACTGTTTCTTTTCATAAATTAGATGGCTCAAAGATTAGAGTAGAATAGAGCTGGAAGGGACCTTGGAGGTCCTCTAGTCCAGCCCCCTGCTCGAGCAGGAGAACCTGTGCCATCTCAGACAGGTGACTGTCCAGTCTCTTCTTAAAAACCTCCAGTGATGGAGCGCCCACGATTTCTGGAGGCAACTTCTGTTCCACTGGTTGATTGTCCTCACTGTCAGGAAGTTTCTCCACGTCTACTTCCCTAAATTTTACTCTGCAGGTACCCTGCAAGTCCGCTACTCCTGCTTTGATCAGTCAACAGGTGAGAAGGTGGATGACTTCTACTGCCTCAAGAGGCCAAAGCCTCCTTCTAGACAGGAAAGATGCCTTATGGAACGCTGCCAACCACAGTGAGTAAAAGCTGCTTTGGACCATTTCCGTTCTGAATCGTCAAGCCAGGATATTTGGACCAGTATCCATCCAATCTGTTGTCCTGTCAACTTCTTGTAGCCAGTTTCCCAATTCACCTGTTTTCTGTGGGGTCCTAGGTGCTCTCCATTTCTTGGAGACGTTTCATGACCCAACTAGGTAACATCATCAGTACTATTGAATGTGACTTGCTCTTTGTTTTTATGCAGTAGCTCTGAGCTTGGCTGTTTTCTAGAGGACATTTCATGACCTAGCTAGGTAACATCATCAGGGCTAGTGGCTTGCTCCCTGTTGATATACAGTAGCTCTGAGCTTGGTGATTTTCTTGCAGATATTTCAACTAGGTGATATCTTCAGTGCTCCCTTTCTAAGGCGACCTGCAACGGCCTTTGCACCATGTCAGAATCAGGATAAAAATATTCCCTTAGCATCAGTGGGGAGTAAGGATGATTTAAACCCGTCTCCCTCATAAAATGGGAATGAGATGAATGCCACATCCTCCAGACCTGGCGGAATAAAGCAGTGGCCAAGGATTCGTGGCGCTATAGTTAGATATAAGTAAGGAATTAGCTGTAAGGTAGCAGGACGGCCTCACAATTATGCACGGTTCAGCAGGGATTTAAACCCAGGTCTTTCTCATCAAAATACAAACCTCCACTACAACACACTCCTTCTTGTATCTAGTCCCGTGCATGTGCAGAGTTTTTTTCCTGAAGATCCCCTTCAGACAGAGAAAAATAATGCCCAATTCTGGACTCTTTCTTCTCATCCAGTTGGAAGAAATCACAGCTGGGCCGATGTTCTGCCCTTTGTGGCTTGGGAGTGGCCATCTGGAACATGACCTGTGTCCAGGTTGTTGATGGGCTGGAATCCACCGTGGACGAGAGGCTGTGCGCAGCGGATCAGAAGCCTCCGGCCTTCGAGACTTGCTCCGTGAACGTCTGCCCGCTGGGATGGAACATGGTATGTATCTCTGGCCTTATGAAGTAGGGATGGTCCTTGACTGGTAACCATTTACTTAGTGACTGTGTTGGCCTTGTTTAGCCACCATGCTAAGACGAGGGTAGGTTGCTAGAGTGCGCTGACTTTATGGACTTAAACTAGGATGAGTTTTAGCCTAGTCTTGTCTACTGAAGACAGATAACCTGGTTAATATTTGCATTGGGGATAATTTGGAAATGTCCAGGTTGAGAAATTGAAAAGAGAAATTATTTGGGGGGAAAAAGGCATTTGTAGACCATCGCGTATTGGGGACGAGAAAACAGCCTAGTCCTCGAGTTACAACTGGTAAGCAACCGGTGTAAGTTGAGGACTATCTTTAATCTCTTGGTTTCCTTTTGTCAGTAGAACGTTTTTCTTTCCACCAAATCTCCTTGCGATGTTGTTGTGCTTTGTGCTGTCTCCTGAAGCAGGGGTTGAAGTCCGATGCTCTGGAAGACCAAGAACGGATTGGAAATCAGTCTGTATATGTCTGGAGTCCTTTGGCTGGAAAGTGTCCCGTCTCCTGTGGGGGAGGTGAGGGTTTTTTTTCCTGGATTCCTTGACCATTGATCTGTTTTTCTGTATCTGGTTCAGCCCTGCTGCTCGTGTATCATTTCTTCGTTGGGATGAGGGGGTCTTTTGCATATTGATATGTCCTTCCTCCATTGGTTCCACCACCCCAAGTGAGGAAGGAAGGAAGGAAGGAAGGAAGGAANAGAAAGAGAGGGAGGGAGGGAGGGAGGGAGGGAGGGAGGAAAAAAGAGGAAGGAAGGAAGAGAAAGGGAGGGAGAAAAAAAGGAAGAAAGAAAGAAAGAAAGAAAGAAAAAAGAAAGAAAGAGAAGATGGAGAGAGGGAGGGAGGAAGAAAGAGGAAGGAAGGAAGGAAGGAAGGAAAGAGAAAGGGAGGAAGGAAGGAAGGAAGAAAGGAAAGAAAGAAAGAAAGAAAGAAAGAAAGAAAGAAAAAAAGAAAGAAAGAGAAGAGAGATGGAGAGAGGGAGGGAGGAAGAAAGAGGAAGGAAGGAAGGAAGGAAGGAAAGAGAAAGGGAGGAAGGAAGGAAGGAAGAAAGGAAAGAAAGAAAGAAAGAAAGAAAGAAAGAAAGAAAGAAAGAAAGAAAGAAGAACCAGTTTTAAGCCAGTGTTTCTCAACCTTGGCAACTTTAAGATGGCTGCACTTCAACTCCCAGAATCCCCCAGCCAAGATAAAGTCATGTTCCCTGGGTATAAGACAGCATTTGAAGAAATAATCCTGCTCAGGACGAGCCATGGAAAACAGAAAATGCTGACACGGCTCACAACATTCACCCCAGTTGCTCCTTCCCACAGGACGGAGGTGGCTGAGTTACGTCTGCTTGGTCTTCGACACGAAGGAGGAAACCGAGGAGAACCGCTGTAACCAGACCCAGAAACCAGCAAGCCGTCTAGAAGTCTGCAACCCGGAGCCGTGTCCCCCAAGGTGAGGGCTCTGCGGCCTTTCCCCACTTATGCAGGCAGTCCTCCAGTTACGACTGTAATGGAACCTGCCTGCCGTGGTCGTAAGTTGGGACAGTTGTAAATCAGATCCCCCACACAACCAACTGGATTTTGCGACCTTTTGTTTTTTTTACGGAGGTCGTTAAGCCAATGCTGTGGCCGTTAAGCGGAATAATAATTTTCACACACACACACACAAACCCTTGCAACTGTCACAATTGCACTATAATTATTTTGTGTAATTGTGATAGTTGCAGCGTCCGTTTGCGTGTGTGTGTGTGATGTGTGATCACCGTTTATGACCTTCCGAGTTGGCTTCCAACAAGAATCTTCAACAAGAAACAATAGATTTTCTTAACGAGGATGTGATTTACTTAACCACTGCAAAGGATTCACTTAACCACCGTGGGGAAAAAGTCCGTAAAATCAGGCGCCTCTTAAGGAACAGACTCCTCGTTTAGCAACGGGACGTCTGATCCCTGATTGCCCTACGTCGGGGACCACCTGTGCTTCATCGTTCCTGGCCTGGACCTCGAGTCCTTGGAAAGTGGCCCCTGAACAGCAGCCGAAATGGGAATATGTAGAAGCGTGCGGCTCCTTCCCACAACCATCTCCTGTCCTTCTCCTTTCCACTCAGGTGGTTTTACAAGCAAGGTTCGTGTAGCGTTACCTGCGGCGAAGGCGTTATGCGCAAGGCCTTGTACTGCGCGCGAGAGACCGGGGAGGAACAGGAGGAAGAGGAAGACATATTGCCCGACGCGGCCTGTGAGGGCTCCCCGCGCCCCAAAGAGCTGGAAGCGTGCCACCTGCAGCCTTGCCCCCCCAGGTGACCGGCTTTGTGCTTGTACATTGGGAGGCTTGCAAGCCCATCTTCCGTTCTCTTGGCCATCCGAGTGGTGAGAATGAGTTTGCCTAAAGAATGCGCTACCAGCACAAAACAAACAAACATCCGGGCAATTTTGACCCGAGATGGTTTGAATTTTCTTGCAATTGTTTTTTACAAGCCCAGCGGTACTTTTTCCTGGATGAAAACATGCAGGGGGGAGGGGTTAGTTAGAGGGTGAATCAAAGTTATCCGGATTCAGGAATTGGGAAAATCCTTTTAGCTATGGCAACTTTCATCATTCCAAGGAAGGGAGGGAGGGAGGGAGGATTAAGAGAGAGGAAAATATGGAAGACTGCAAAAGGAAGAGAGAGATGAGAGTGAATCACAGACGGAATGATGGAAGGACGGAAGGGGGAAGGAAAAAGAGATGAAGGAAGGAAGGAAGGAAAGAAGGAAGGAAGGATTAAGAGGAAAAAAGGATAGAAGACTGAAAGAGGAAGAGAAAGAGGAGAGTGAATTATAGAATGATGGAAGGAGGAAAGGAAGGGAGGGAGGGAAGGATTAAGAGAAAAGAAGACTGAAAGAGAAAGAGAATAGAAAATGATAGAGTGATTGAAGCAGGAAAGGAAGGATGGAAGGGAGGGAAGGATTAAGAGAGAAAAAAGATAGAAGACTGAAAGAGAAAGAGAATAGAGAATTATAGAATGAAGGAAGGGAACGAAGGAAGGATTAAGAGAGAGAATGGAAGGATAGATAACAGACAAGTGCCACTGACTTGCCTGCCCCTTCATCACGGCTATCTTCTCTCTTCTACCGAAAGCTGGAGAGTGACCGAGCATGGACCCTGCTCCTCTTCGTGTGGGCTTGGAGTGGCCACCCAATCCGTGGCTTGCGTGCGGCTTTCCGGAGGCCGAGAGGTGGACGTGGCCGAGGGCCAGTGCCCAGAAGCGGAAAAGCCCCCCTCTGTCGTGCCTTGCCTTCTCCGCGTCTGTCCGTACGAATGGGGCTTCACCAAATGGACGGAGGTAGTAGCCCTCTTTGCACAGCATAGAATTAGTCCTCAGCTTACAACAGGTGAGTGACTGGCCGTAAGCTGAGGAATGACTGTGTTCTCTCCTTCCAGTGCTCTGTCTCGTGTGGAACCGGCATCCAGAAGCGACAGGATTTCTGCATCAACCCCCAAACCAAGACACGGGTGAATCCTCTCCTGTGCATGCTTGTTCCTAAGCCCATGATGGTGAGAACGTGCTCCGTCACGCCCTGCTTCCAAGTGACCACGGTGAAGGAAGACCTTCGGCCTGATGTCCCTGCGGCCACCCAGCCTCCAGGGGCAGAGATCCTGACCACCCCCGAGGTTCCTCTTCCTCTCAAAGGACCGCAGGACCAGAACCTGGATCTCCCATGGTCCAAAGGAGAAGATCCTCAGAAGAAAGAAGCCAAGGCTAAACCCTGGGGAGATATCTCAGACGAACCCAGTTAGGTAGCATTGCTGGTCATTGAGAGGGCTTTAACCAGGGGCAGGATGGGTCCTGGGGAAACAGGATTGGGTTTGGTGGAAAGGCCAGCAAAATGCAACCTATCTCAGCACCACTGAGGTCAACCAGGAAGGTCTACAACCTGTAGAGCTAAGTCAAGTCCGTCCTGATCGTCATGGTTTGACGATAGGATATTAGTGATAGGACAATTTCAGGAAATCCATGAAAAACCACGTTCTTATTGCCGAGAAATCAAGGTCAACTCAATGGCGAAGTGATCCAGAGGCAAGCCTCAGCAAGGGAAAAAAAAAGCCCCCTTATTTTTCAGACTTTTGGGGTCACCTAAATCCAAAATTTACAGGGTTTTTTGGGGGGTGTTGGCTCCTTTGCAGAAATTTAGCTGCAGATGAGTTGGTGGAGATAAATCAAGATCTCTGCATAAACGACTAGAATATAAGATGAGGGCAAACCCCACTCTCTAGTAGCACTGATGACATTACCTAGTTGGGTCGTGAAACGTCTGCAAGAAAACCACCCAGCTCAGAGAGCACCAAGGACCCCATAATCCTCCTCCTCTTCCTCCTTCTCCTCCTCCCTACTCCACTCCCTTCTAGCCCTGATGATGTTACCTAGTTGGGCCACGAAACGTCTGCAAGAAAACCACCCAGCTCAGAGAGCCCCCAGGACCCCACCAGTTCGACCCTTAAGTTCCACCCCACAGTTCAATTTCCAAGGTGTGTGACTCACCTGTTCCCAATCTCTTGTGTCTTCTTCTCCTCCTCTGCCTTTTTCATCCAGGTATCTGTGGAAGGCAATGGCTGAGCCCCAGTGGATTAATCAACATGACGGGGGTACAAGCCAGGATCTGCACGGTCGCCATAGGCCGGCCTTTAGGGGAGACCATCACCGTCCAGGTGTTGCAGAGTTCCTTGAACTGCAGCGCAGGTGAGCATTTGCAGGTTGGGGCTGATCCTCATCCAGGAAGCTTCAAATCTGTTTTATCCACCTCTTTTTCTTATTTGCCTCTCTTGCTGAAAAAATAACAGGATTCGCCCTCAGCTTCCAGTTCTCCCGCTTACTGATTTACCTTTTATTTGTTTATATATCAAATTTACAGCCTGCCCATCTCAGTCCCACCCAGAGCGACTCTTGTCTAATCCGGGCCAACCGATAAGTGTCAGGGGGTTAGTTGCGTATGGGTGTGCGTGCAAATTTGCGGTGCTAATTTTTTTTAACCTAGTGTCAACACTGCTAACATCGGATGTGCTTGCTTTGACAGTGTATAAGATGCAGCCCTTTTCTCTTTAACCTGTGTGTACTTTTAGAGTTAGAACTAGATGATCCTGGGGTGGGGGGGAGCGGGAAGAATGTGTATGGGGATTAGTTAGACATAACATCCCAGTAGAGTATTCTTCAAGGTTGTTTGAAATAAGAGATGATAAGAAATGGCGGGTTAGAGAACTGGAGGGAAGGTCTGCATTTCAAACTAATTGGAGAATGTGATCGATGACCTCCAAGGTCCCTTCCAACTTTATTATTATTATTATGACTGTTAATTGGAGGAGGGAATTGTGCTTTGATACTACGTGCTCAGGGAAGGGGAATTCAGATGTTGGCTTCGACCATGTACGTGCCGATGCCATGCTACTTGAATAAAGATTCTTTAAGGTAAACAATGCCTCAAAGTTCTTTGAAGAGTATCATCTGTCGGAACCATGACACCTACTTTAGTACTCCAAGCAATAGGCTGGGGGTTCTGATTTGCTCAAATAGGAGCCTAAAATGACACTAAATGGGAACCCCTCATTTGCCAAATCACACGCAAAAAATCAATAAATCAAAATTGTTTTGCCAGGTTACATAGCTGCAGCTGTGGGTTTCTCATTTGTGTTTGGGGCAACAAGCCAGCTGGGTTTGAAACACCACTTTCGGACTTGCGAGTCCAGGTTTAAGGGGTTGTCCAGAGTAGTCCTCAATTTACAACAGTTCGTTTAGTGACTTAACAAACCTCTCACTTAAGAACAGAAATTTTGAGCTCAGTTGTGGCCTACTTACCTGTAGTGAGATTTATGAAGGTTACAGAAGGACCTATTCAGCATCCTTATTTTATTTTATTTTTGATCCAGGAGAAATATTACTGTTTTCAACCCGGACCATGTGGCGGATGGCTTGTAAGAAGCTGAAACTGTTGATGGTCAACACCCAAACCAACACACTGATAGTGAGGCAACGTCGGCTGTTGTTGGGCAGTGGCGTTGTGCTGCGCTACACCAGCAGACTGGCGGAGAAGAAATACCACCAAGGTGTGTAAAT